TAATTAGACCAGGCTCCGGACTTTTTGGACAGGCTGTCCTGTTTTTTCCAGGCGTAAAGCACAATAATCCAGGACAAATTAATTCCTCAGGTCCTCCTTTTGGCCCCCAAAACTATCCACATGTGCATCCTACTCAACCAGATGGCAAAGATTCACTGACTGGGCAACCACCAATGCAGTCCAGCCTGACATATGTTCCCTGTCACATATTTTTGGGTATTTACTGTTCCTCAAGGATAGTGATGTCATTTTGTTCGTTAAAGATACACTTGGCAGCCATGTTGGCCTTTTACGTGGACAGTTTCACAGTGTTTTCCAAGCCCCATTCAAAAAGATTTGCTCAATCTAGAACTACCAGTTATCCTCCACTTTCCCAGTGGAGCCAGTCATTAGTATTATCTGAACTAATGCACACAGACCATTCAAACCCTTAGCCAAGTGTGATTTCTCTCTCTTATCCTGCAAGACTGCCTTCCTGGTGGCATCACTTGTGCATGCAGAGTGGGAGCGCAGTCTGTGCTGTGTTTCCCTGTTCACCAAGTTTCATAAGGACAGAGCGATCCTCTGTTCCCGTCTTAGCTTTCTACGGAAGGTAGTTTCCGAGTTTCACATCTTGCAAGACATAGTCCTACCAGTGTTCTTTCCAGCACCAGTTCCAGCAGCAGAACAAACGTAATGCACAATGCACAAAAAGTTTTAGAAAGACCAGGACTTGTTTATCTGCATTGCTGGCCCTAACAAAGGCAGGACAGCATCTTCTCAAATCCTGTCCAGGTGGATAGTGCTGGCAGTGAAACTGGCATATTTGGCTGATGTAACATGCCCTCTACCACTGAGAGCTCATTCCACCACGGCCCAGGCATCGTTGCCTGCTTTTCACTGTGAAGATTCTCTGAACAACATCTGCAGGGCTGCTACCTTCTGACTCCGTTCATGTCCGTGAGATAGTACTCCCTTGATGCAGCTTCGAGGAATGAGGCAGCTGTGGGAAGAGCAGTGCTGCAGTCACTTTTTTACTGACCAGCCCGCACCCACCTTCTCGATAAGTGAGCTTGCTGCTCTCCCATGTGGGACTGCATAGAAACCACAATGGTGAAAACAGAGTTGCACTTATTTGTACGTGTTGTTCATCAACTGGTCTTCTGTGCAGGCATACATATCTCCCTCCTTTCCCTGCTGTGGGCTGCTCATTCAGAGGGCCTGTCTTCTTCCACAGCGGTGAAAGGATAACTGAGGGAGGAATGCTCTTCCCACTTCCATCACATGCTCGTTTGGGTGGAAAATGCTGGCTCAAGGTGGAGGGCAGGGAGAGTGCTCCAAACGCCTCACATCTTCTGGAAAGCTTTAGAGTCTTATTCTCTGTGGTTGGCCTGCTCAGTACTATGTGTGCCTGCACAGAAGACCACTCAATGACGAACAGGTAAGTGCAGCCCTGTTTTCTGTTATCTGCTGTCTCCCTCCAGGACTGCTGAGTCTAAAAGCTCTACTAACTTTTATTATAAATTTACATTCTCTTACTTGAACTTTGCTCATGATTTTCTTATACTATACTGAAGCTTCCATTATTGATTTGCAAGTTAGAACTTCTGTGATCTTTTCTGTCTTTAACTTGCTCGTAAATGTTTCATTCTGTGCTCAAGATTATGCCAGCTTCTTCCATAAATGTTGACAAGATCTGCTGTGAATTTCCATGTGCCCTTCCTTGGTCCTTTCCCTTCCATTTCAGATTGACTCTCCTTCTCTCCACCTTCAGTCCAGGATTGATTACCTTAATTAGCTGACTTGCCTCCATCTCATTTATCACCCCCCCCCCCCCCCTTTCTGATGCACAGTCAATTTCTGTCTGGCTGCTATCCTCTGTTTTTAAGCACACCTCTTCTTTCCATTACTCCTTAATAGTCCTTCCAGTATATTGTAACTACACTTATAAGGCTAAAAAAACTCTTTCCATTTGATCAAATCAAGAGATTATTTCACATTTTCCTTGACACGTACATGGCTTTGACTCTGATAATCTACTTCTTCTTGGGCTTCCATGATCCTTGCCCTTTTTGTTTTATTTTTCCCCTTTGTTTTACCTTTTCCACTTCCTTTTGACCACTCTTTGTCTCCATTGCTGTCCCTTGTAGCTTAATTAGTGCTTTCTGTTTGCTATTTCTGTAGTGGTTCACAGCTGTTAGTGTGGCTGCTGCTAAGATCTTGAAGTTCCCTAATGCTCTGTTTGCTCTCACTCTCATCATTTCTGCAAAGCGATTCACTATTCCTGGAATAGTTCTCACCAGGAAAGAGAGGGAAATGGTTCCTCTTTGACTCTAGATCCCAACCCAAGATCCACTTCATGAGTTAAGCTCTAAGCCAGAGGTGTTGAACTTATTTGTTATGAGTGTCAGATCTGACATAAATGTCACTTTGTCAGGCCAAGCCATGTGTGCCATTAAATGTAATGCCAGATACCGGAGATACAGACTTTTTAAATGACAACAGCTGCTAAGTTCAGAGTTGGTGTCTCCTCACTGCAAGGCTTCATGGGCTGGCGGGGGGGGGGGGGGGGGGATGCAGAAGTAAACCTGCATGGGCAGACTCTCCAGAGTGTGGCAGAAATAGAAGTAAGCCTGGGGCATTTCTGTGTGGTTCTCTCTCCCACAAGGCTTTGCATGTTTAGCTGTTGTCATATGCCTCTCTCAGACCTCACAATGATCTCTCTTCTGACAACGCACTCTGTTCTAAAAGAACTGTTTACATTTCTGAGTTCAATCTGGAAATCAAAACCATTTAAATATCAGTATGCAGCTCCAGAATCCTTCCTTGTTTCTAACCTAGAAGATTATGAGTTAACTCTGAGCAGAGCTTATTTTGTCAGCAAGGGGAAGGATTTGGGTTTCATCATTTTTTAATAGATGGCTACTCTGAATTTCTCTTCCATATAATGTCAGTATCTGCCACTGTTCAGGGCCCACTGCCAACACCTCCCTTGTTAGGTCTTGACCAGTGGCCGAAATGTGTACTCCAAAATAAGATATAAGTGCAATCTTTATTTATAAGTATTGGGTTTTTATGTCTTCTATTATGAGCAATACTGAAATTGCTACTTGCTTGAACATTTTTTGCACTATGGTTTTGTACTTCAATAAAGAAGAGTTACTTTGGAACAGTTCTCTCCCCCCCCCTTTGAAACTACAGGGTCTCTGCCAGTTTCATCCCCCTCCCTTATGGAGCTGGGTGACTTTAGGAGTCCTGCACTCCTATTTTCCCCAACAGAGAGCCTGTGCTGCTTGGAGGGGGGCAAACCCCATCCCCAGCCCACTCCTACCACGAATGCTGTGAGCCCAGGCTCCAGGGTAGAAGAAGAAGAAGAGATTGGATTTATACCCCGCCCTTCACTTGGAGCAGCTTACAAACGCCTTTCCCTTCCCCTCCCCACAACAGACACCCTGTGAGGTGGGTGGAGCTGAGAGAACTCTGACATAAGCTGCTCTTTTTCAAGGACAGCTGTGCCAGAACTTGTGACTGACCCAAGGTCACATCAGCAGGTGCAAGTGGAGGAGTGGGGACTCAAACCCGGTTCTCCCAGATTAGAGTCCGCGCACTTAACCACTACACCAAACTGGTAAAAATACAAAGTGTTGTGAGCTCCCCCCTGCCCCCGAGCCACCATGGAAGGGGACTGGGAAGACAAGTTGAACTAACCTTCCTGGCTGCAGAAGCGGGGGGGGGGGGCTGGTAGCCCAGGAGTGAGGCCACAGTCACGGCAGGATCCAGACCACACAATGTGTGATAAGCTGGAGATGCCTGTGTGGCAGCAGCCACCTCCAGCCAAAGCCACCAGACCATCCATGGTGGGGCGATACTGGAGCTTCAAGCTAGAGATCGTTGGCAAGTTGTGCCACCCCCATGCAGCAGTTGCTCCCCCAGGCTGAAGACCACTGGATCATCCGATGGGTAAACAGGCACTGCATACACAAGGCTACGTGTGTGGTAGAGGCTCCAGGCCACCCAGTGACCAGTTAATCACCAGCTCCTCATGAAGCAGCAGCAGCTCCCTATGGCTAAAGGCTGCTGGATGTTCTATGGGGGGAGGCCTGGCCACTGAGTTCTGTGCTTGTGGCAGGACTAGGACCCCAGTGTGTGGAAGAAACTGCCAATGAATTCCCCTCATGGTCCAAAGTACAGCTGCCACATGGGGGGGGGGGGGTTTGAATACAGCAGTGGTGCTGGCTGTCAGCAGGCCGTAGTAGAGAATCATCTATACCCCCACACACACACACAAGCAAATGCTGATCTCCACAGCTATGTAGGACAGCACCCCTAGAGCTACAGGTTGAGTGGAGAGCTGTGCGACCTCACCTTGGAACCTTGTGCTGGCTGTGGTGGCTTCCAACTTACCAGTTTACCGGTGAAGCTGCCACATAAGCGAAAGGGTTCTGCTTGAATTCTACAGATGAGGTGGTTGTGCTGTGCTAAAGCTACAATCTGAGTGGTTCCACCCACTCGCCCCCTCCCCGAGCAGCCTCCTGTTCCCTCTATCACACCAGTGGCTCATGGGCTGGGTAAGAGCCCTTGAAGGGCCGGTTCTGGACCCCAGGCCTTGTGTTTGACACCCCTGCTGAATATTCAGTAGCTTGAAAGATAGTGTTACCTCATGCTCTAGTTCAACAGCTGAGAGTTGACCTCAGTTGCAACTACCCAGTCTAGCATAGTTGTATTCCTGAAAATGAAACTTTTGTTAACTGTAATCAACCTTACAGATAATTTCAGCAGGTCATTACTGAGACATACTGGAGGCAGGGGAAGTGGTCAGAAATAAATTTAGTGCATTTTGTTAACTTTCTGCAGATAAGTTTTATTCACGGTCATTGACCAACACATAAAACAATGTCACAACTTTCTGCAAAATTTTGTGCTTTTCTTAATGTCATTTATTGATTTATTCGATTTATATATTTTTAATTAAAGGAGCAAGGTCTTGTAAAAATTATTCAGTTACTTGCTTTATTTTTTAGGTTTGGATAAATACGTCAGATATCATATTGGTGGGTTTAAGAGACTACCAGGTAAATATTCTTTGCTTTGTTTGGTTTATATAACAGTGAATTCAGTTCTAAAACACTGATGTGAGTTAGTAATATTTTAACGTAAGCAAAGTATCTCTTTTATAGAGAAAGTATAACTATGAGAAGTCTCAAATAACCTTGCGCCTTGGTATAAATACATTTTATATATTCCCCATTTCAAAGGATGTCTTGGGGAGAAAAGAAGTAGATTAGCTAATTGTGTGGAGTCGTGTTTAAAGCCCAAATTACCCATACTTTGCCATTCAAAGCAAGTCATTAAATAGTTGAAGAAAAACTATAGTTGAAGACAATAGTTGAAGAAAAAAGACTATAAGATCTTTTAGAATTCTTTTGTCAGGCGATGTGGCTTTCACTGAATGATGCTAGTAATTCAGGCGGGGTAGCCGTGTTGGTCCAAAGCAGCAGAACAAAGTTTGAGTCCAGCGGCACCTTTAAGACCAACAAAGTTTTATTCAGCTGTAAGCTTTTGTGTGCAAAAAGCTTACTTTGAATAAAACTTTGTTGGTCTTAAAGGTGCCGCTGGACTCAAACTTTGTTCTGATGCTAGTAATATTGGCCAAGATCTTGCTTGCTAGAAACCAGATCCACTGCCTGCATATAGGAAAAGGTAGAACTGGCTTCAGTAAATGGCTGTGGAGTAGGAAAATATGAGGAGAGTCCTGTATTAAAGCCTTTCTATCAGCAACCCATGTTGGCTCCCTCACCCCCCACCCCCCCCCAGCTTTTTGTTCACTGGTGAGAGAGCCTTCAACTTCATGCCAGGCAGGCGTTGGTATGGGCAGAAGGGGAGGGACAAATAGGAGAGGTCTGTAGGATGACTGAGAAGATAGATCCAGTAGCACAGGCCCATCCCTTGGCCACATTGCTCATGGTATTTGTGACGGGCTGAGGCTGGGGAAGGAAGGAAAAATAACCATGCTTGATTTCAGTGAGCTTATCCTAGAGCAACTCTGTTTAGGATTACACTGTAATTTTAAAATGGGAGTCTTATCAGAATTTAACACAGTGAGATTACTTGGTATTAACATAACCTTTGAGGGTTCAAAATGCTGTACCTAAATTATCATAGTTGTTACTACCACCATGTACACTAGATGTATTTTTTTCATCATTATTGTAGCAGATGGGGGAATCACACCACCTAGTGACTTTGTAGGAAGTAAGATTTGAACTGTACACAACTATGTCTCTTAGCCACCACATAATACTAGGTCTTTTAATAATACAAATTGTAGTACGAAAACGATCAGTATTCAGGTTTTTAGAAGCATAACCCTGACCTGGTTGGACCAGGCTAGTTTAGTGTCATCAGATCTCAGAAGCTAATCAGGGTTGGTCCTGGTTAGTACTTGGATTGGGAGACCACCAAGGAATCCCAGAGTTGCTGTATAGAGGCAGGCAATGGCAAACCACCTCTGTTCTTCTCATGTCTTGAAACCCCTACGGGGTTGCCATATGGTGCTTTCCACCACCAACCATGTTAATTGGTTGCAACAGACAGTGCTTTTACTTAGTGTGGTATTTTATAGTCAAGATATATACATAGTAACTCTAGCCAGTGAAAGCACATATCACAATGAAGTGCCAGATAACTGCTTTTTCAAAATATGACAGTACTTATGAGTGTTAAAGTGGCAATGCTTTAAGAAGAAGCTCTTTTTGAATGTTACTTATAAATACTTTAATTTCTTTTAGGATAACAAGGCTGATGTTATTCTAAAATACAATGCAGATGAAGCCAGAAGTCTGAAGGCATATGGAGAACTTCCAGAGCATGGTGAGAATTTCTCAAGGACAAATCAGAGGGCTTTGGGAACAAGGGAAAAAATCCACTGGAATTTCTACTGTGTGTTTAATATAATTCTCTTATTTAGCTAAAATTAATGAAACTGACACATTTGGACCTGGTGACGATGATGAAATCCAGTTTGATGATATTGGAGATGATGATGAAGATATTGATGATGTAAGTATTGTACTGGGAAGCATTCAGCTATTCACATGGTGGTTTTAGGAATGTGTGCTAAAACCTTGAAACTTCTAATCTTAAAGCTGTGCAGCCTGCTAGTTGCTCAGTAGTTTATCCAGAGGTATTCCAGTGTACATCCAGGTGGATACAAATCCATTTCCTTGCATTTGAGTTATGAGATGAGTACCTTTTATGCTGCACTTTTGGATCCCTAAAAATTAACATTGTTGAACTTGCCAAACCATGTAGATAGTAATTCTTTTTCAGATGTAGAAATGGAAGCTTATCTTAAACTACAAACCAAGTGAAGTTAATGATTTCTGTATCATTGATCTCAATGGGAGAGAATTGCACATGTCCTACTAGGTCATAGATATAAGAGTAAAATGGTAAAAGTAGTACAGGGGGCCAAAAATCAAATCAGTTGTGCATTTGATTACTTTATGTAATACTGATTATCTGAATTTGAGTTAAGATTGTCATGGTAATGTAATTATATCCCTCTTTTACTTACAGATCTAAACAGAACTGGGAGGTATACATTCCAACTTTCCACCTCAAGAATTATTTTGTTTCAAGTCCCTATCCTTAAGAAGACTGAAACTGCATAACAGTTGTAGTTACAGGAAACCTACCTATTGCCCAGTGTTTAAGTATTTATATTTCTTTAAGAAACAGATAATGTTGGACTTGCAAATGAAATATTACAGCTATTTTTGTCTCTCTACCAATTAGACTTTTACATCTGAGTGTAAATATACTTACTATGAGCTCCCATGTTTGCTTCATCTGTTTTTGCCACTAAATTTCAGTAAAGCTGTGTTCTCAAATAAAAAAAATTGCTGAATTATGAATTATGTATTTTGATTAAATAGCCAGTTCAGGTTAGTGTTTACCTGCCAGTGCAGTGTCATTTCCTATTATCCCTTAAACTTGAAGTCAACTTGTAAGATTTTGATAATAGCAAAGGGTCATTAAAGTTCATAATGCCTGGATATGCTTTTTAAGTTTAGGTGCATGTTACTTTTATACTGGTTTTGATATTAAATTTCCTCTCTTTCACAGATAAACTCGCCATAGTGGAGAGAGAATAAATTTTAAAAATTATGTATGTTTGAACTGCTATTCTGTATTTGGTAGTGGTAATGCTGAAGTTAAACACTGGGTGGCACCAAATTTAAGTTATTCATTGATTTGGAAAACTTGCACTGTTCTCTTGTAATTAAACATTTTGAAAGGTTAGGGTTGCCCTTGCAAGAATAAATGCTGAACAGTTATGTTGATACAAACTTAAAATATTTTTACATTACAAAAAATTCTTATGTTAGAGAGTAAAGTTTTATTTTGAACTTAAATTCCACAAATTATAAGGTACAACTGGAGAGACTTTTAGTACAGTCTGATTTGGAGTATTTAAGACATTACTGTGAAATTTTAAAAATCTCTATCACTAATTAACAAGCAGATCAACTAAAGGAATGAGCTTTTCCAGCTTGAGTGGGAGTGGTGCACCTAAGAAGTTCAATAAAGACTAACATGGTCATATAAAAATTTACAAATTCTGGACTCAGTTTGTGTCTCCTTAGTGTTTTATATTACAGTCTTGATGTTATTCAAAGGGAATTAAATTGCTATTAGATAACACATTTGGTATATTTTTATGTGAATACTGTAAGTTCTTAAAATTTATTATTAAAGAACTGTTTTAGACATGAAATTGTACTTAGCTAAATTTGATTACCATACTGTAAAATTAGCCTCCTTTACGTTGAATTCTAAAGGTTGGAGATTGATGACAGTTGAACCTCCAATATTGCTTTTCTGATAAGTATCAAAATAATTTTAATTGTGTCCTTTCCAAGAGACAGATGGAAGAGCAAGTGTGTGCATGTTTGGAAAGTTATATTTTAAGTATATTGGTTTTCAAAATCTGATAGAACTGTTTAGGAGAGGGCTATTGCTTGGAACTCATGGTAGGTTAAAAAACTTCAGCTTCCATTGTTTGAATAAGCAAATATGCTATGTAATAGTGTAGTAGGGCCTTGAAAGAGAGGCAGCGTCATGATTCTTACCAATAGTAGTGTTTTAATTTATGGTAGACAATACAAGGAGTTACCTGAATTCTGCGCTGGTTCACTGGTCCATCTCTGGCCTAAATTCATCAAACTGTTGGTATCTCTCCAGTGTTTTGCTTCATGAAATTCTTTTTCACTGTAGAGATGCCAAGAGCTGAATTTGGGACCTTATACATACAAATCACATGCTCTCCTATGAATAATTACACTAAATTAACTTTCCAATTATATATAGCTGTGATCCAGAGGAATGATTTCTAGTCTGTGATGATACCTTTACATCTGTATGAAGTATAAAGATTTTGTTTATCCAGCTTTTCCTTCAAGAGATTTGCTAAAGGCAGCATATATATTAACACGTTTTATCCTCAGAACATAAGACACTGGTAGTTTGGGCTGAAAGTGTGTGAGTGTCATAGCTGATGATCAGACACTTCATTAGCGCAGCTTGTGTATTCTTTCCCATTGAACCCTGACCATTCACAGTATGCTTAACAATGACTAGACATTAGAAGTATATGCAGAATTTTAAAATAAGAATTATCATTTTAGCTGGTTTAATCCCTTAATGATTACCAGTTAAATCCCTCTAACCTGTTTTAGGATCTTAAATTTCTTGGGAAAATGTGATCTGGAAAGGTGGCAGATCCTCAAGAGTTTAAAATCTAGCTGGTTGTTAATTGATGTTATAAAGTTAATATTTGACTTGGGCTCAGCCTTCTGATGAAACTACCTATAGATTTATGATTATAAATGTCATATGTCTACATGTTTAATTGACGAATACAAATTCGGAATGCAGAATCTGAAATCTTTATAAAATTAGCTAATGTCTGTTCACCACTTTTAGATATAGTTAAAACTGTGTCTGACAGCACTTCCGATCGCTTTAAGCCTTGAGTGGGACAGCCCAGGGCTAGCCTGATCTTTTCAGATCTCAGAAGCCAGGCAGGATTGGCCCTCGTCCGTACTTGGATGGGAGACTCTACCACGGCTGCAATGCAGAGGCAGGCAGTGGGAAACCACCTCGGGAGATCTCTTGCCTTGAAAACCCCTTGCTGGGGGTCATCATAAGTCAGCTGTGACTTGACAGCAAAAAAAAAAGAAAAACATTATAATTTCATGTGCATCTTCTAAACTTTGACCTGTGATCATATAGAGGAGAGAAAACTGGCAATTTGAGATTTTTCAGCTAATTGTAAAATGTTCATTTCTCTTTCTAATACTAACATGTATGAGAGAAATTTGGGGGGGGGAGAGTATGTAAAAAATGAATTGTTGGGCTCCCAACTGATGATTTGCTGGATAGGATATTTGGAACCAAGAAACATTTACACTTATAAACAGACGAGGAGTTTTGAGGAGAGAGCAGTTAATAAATACAATATTACATTGTATATTTTGCATAAACAGGCTTAATCTAGAAATGGTATTTAATAGGAAAATCTATAAACTTTTACCCTGAAATCTTGTTTACTACAGTAGATATCTGTTTCTTGTGGATGTTATGGTAGTGAAGATTTTGGACATACGGCTGTAGAAAAATTGGTAATTATGCTTTTTTGAATCATTTCCTAAATTCTTAACCACATCTTCAGAACTAGAAAAACTATATGCAGCGTTTATACTTCTATTTGTACTGAAGCTACATGACATCCCTTTGAAAACTTGAGGCTAACAAATACTGCAGTGTATGTACAGGTGTATTTATGCAAAAGCATTGGAACTTCTTTCTTGTACATTTTTTTTTCAATGGCTTCAGGGCATGCATCTTATGTTTTCATAGTAGGATATTTTTCTTCCCTAGATAATGCTAAAGCAGTGTCATATCTTGTTACAGCATGATAACTTGGAAAGGTTTCTCACCACTGCAATAAATGTTTCAATTAATCCCAGAGTCTATTGCAACAAACTGGTTCTGTGCGTCAACTAGAAAGCCACAGGAAATACACCATTAACAAAATAGATTATTGGGCTGAAAATAAGGGGAAAAATCTGTGATTGTACTTCTTTTACCCTGCAAAGCTAATTTACGATGATATGTTATAGTGTAGAGAGAATCTTGGAACCCTGAGTATGTTTTGGCTGGGATTTGAACAGTCCCATAGCAGCAGACAGCATTGTGGGGGGGAGGGGGATAGAATGGCAGCCAGCCCAGCCCAGCTTTTTACACTGTATCAAATCCATCCTTCAATAAGAGCTTTTGGAGGGAGTGGTTGGAAAAGCTCTACTGCATGCCTATAAGTTTGTGTATGGCCCTTTGGATTCCAACCTTTACCACCTTCCTGATGTTTTGTGTTTAATATATCCGGAGTAAGTTAATTTTTGATCACATGGCTAGTTCTCCCAACTTTTCTCCCTATGAGTGATATTTACAGGGAAGAAATGGGAGAGATGGCAATTTAACAAAATGTCAAAAGTACAAGTCAGTCATGCAGTTTCACTCAATACGTTTACACAAAAGGATATTCTGTACTTTTTGTTAAGGCTTACTGTTCAGGCTGGTACATTGGATGTCTCCTCTTTGTGCTTCTGCATAAGTAGCATATTCTTTACCATTGTACTGAAGTCTGCTAGTACTCCTCATCCAGAGGATGACAGGATTCTTGCACTAAGGGTGATGAAGTGCCTAAGCCTCTTTAGCTGAACGTTGAAATAACCTGGACCCTCTGCATACCTACCTGAACAAAAGTATAAACGAAGACTGGGTTTGGCTCAAGAACAGCAAACAGGAAACCAGAGGAGGTGCTTTTAATGCAAAGAAGTGACCTGGTGTGGAAAGATCTGCATTTTGAAGGCAAAGGACAGGACTTTCCTACCTTTGCAGACAATCATGCAGTCAAAATTACTACAAAGAAAAATGGCTTGTGAAACTGCCTAAGCAGGAAACAAAGTTTAGGAGTACACTGTTAAGTTAACGTTCATGAAATGTGTAAAATTTATGAGAGGTAAGCATCCGAGACTGTGGAATGAGAAATGTGAGATGCTGTGAGTAGTATTAATCTGTAGCAAAGACAAGGCTAACAGGAGTAGGAGGCAATAGAGATGCAGTTGGGAGCTAGAGGTTACCAACTCCAGGGCATTCTCCTGGAATTGCAGCTGCTCTCCATTACAGAGGCCAGTTCTGCTGGAGGAAATGACAGCTTTGATAGGAGGACTCTGGCATCACATCCCCTGAGCTTCCTGTCCTGCCCAAGTGCCCAGATCTCCCAAGAATTTATGGAACTGGAGTGTGCAACTCTAAAGAGAGGAATAGTGAAACTGGATGTTAGAGTAGAACCTGGAGGAAGATAAGATGGCGGTCCAGTTCCAAAGCCGGCAGAGAGATTAGTACAGTAGGGGATGAAAAAAATGGTGGCAGAGTGATGGGAAATTTTTAGCACAATGGTGGCTGGAGTGGAGTAGCCTCAAAAACCAGGGGTTCTGGGAGCTGAGAGAGGACTGTGGAAGAAGGAAAGCAGGAAAGATGGATGGAAATCTGCTGCAGGTTGTGTGGCCTTTAGATGAATAGGAGCAAAAGCAGAGAAAGTGGCCATTGGGATGGGTCATGGTTGGGGCCAGCAGTGGTTCATAAAACAGGAAAATGGTGGGGGGCTCAAAAGATCTAGAAACTAAAGCAAAACGTGGCCAAGCCAGTGGCTTGTAATATTTACCTGTTTACTTGCAGTACCATCTCTCCAAATAAACACTAACTTTTGCTATACTATACCCATAGAATGGGCCCTGTTTCGCTATGGAACGGACACCTGCTCCAGCTGCCAAGGTAGCTTCGGTCCGCAGCGTTGCTATAAGTCAATACTCTCCCTCAGCCTTTGTTGCTGGGAATCAAAATATCAGAGTGATACAAGGTACCAAAAGGTAAACTATCGAACCGATCGGAAATCTGTCTAGAAAAGCTAAGGGACAGCGCGCCAGTCCCTGAGCCCGTGCCCACTTGGGGCTGATGCTGGGGTCGTAGGAAGCGCCTCTGCCCCCAACAGACCCCTCGGCACGGCGCTTTGTTTTAAATGTCCCGTTAGGCGCCGGGGGGGGGGGGAGTGGAGGCGCTGTGCGCGACGGGCTTTGGGACCTCCGAGCCAGGGACGAACCTGCGGGAGAAGCTGCGTCTCTGCCAAGCGGGAGGGAGCGGATGCGTCCTCGAAGAGCCCGTGGAACAGGCGCTGGCGCTGCCTGCCTGCGGCAAGAGGAGGGAACGCGAGCGGGTTGCCACACGCTCGCAAAAATGCAATGAAGCGGAGTGGGGAGGAGGAGGAACACCTGGGAGGCGGTACGGGTGCGCCTCGCCTCTCCTCCCCTCCCCAGTCCTGCCTGCCGCGCTCTTTTCACCAGCCGCCCGGCACAACCTCCTTGCGCCTCCTGCCCGTTTCCCGCCTCTCCGGGTCTCCGCGCCTCGTCAGGTGCCGTGCCGGAGCGGGTAGTGCGCCTGTGCGGCGGCAGCAGCCTCAGCGGCTCCTCCGGCGCCAGAGCGCGGCAGTGGGCGCCAAGGGAGCGCCAGGAGCCGGAGCCGGCGCGCTGGTGGGCGAAGATGGCGGAGCCGGGTCCCTCACGGACGTCTCCCTTGTACCCCCGGGCTTCAGGTAGGGCAAGGCACCGCACCTGCTGGCGGAGGCGAGGGCGGCGGGAGGGGGTGCCCCCTGTCCGGCTGTCCCCCTCGAGGGATGCGATCGTGCGCGGCTCCCGCGCGGCGGGCAGGTGGCCTCTGGGGAGAGCCGCGGCGCGGGCGCGGGGTTTACGGGCCGGGGTGGGTGTGTGCCGACTGAGGCCGCTGGCAGGCGGGCTCCTGGCAATCGCGGCACCCCGTGAAAGCTGGGAAGGCGCCAGGCTGCGCCGGGGCTGGCTGCGGGAGGAAGCGGGAATCGAAATCCGGGTCGGGATGGGTTTTGGAAGGATGACGGTGCCAGGCCTCACCTGCCGGGGGGCGGGGGGCGGGGGGCGGCAGAGAAGACGTGTGAACGAGCTGTGTCCCTCGTGTTCGGGCAAGGTCAAAGACAGAGGCGAGAAATGGGGAGGGGGGGTTCTTTGGGGTTGGAAATCAGTGGCTGTATGACAGGGCTTCCTCCTCTGGTCACTGATCTGGCTTGCTGACTTGCTCTGTCAGAGAAGCAGAAGACAAGGCAATGTGATGCTGTAAGGCTTTTTTGTATCCATTTCAGCCCCAGAAGAAAGCTTTGAATGCTCTAATGGCGCGTTGTCCCTTGTGGCTGCAAAACCAGGTTTTGTTTGGCATTCGCTGATGGGAGAGTATAAAATTATAATGACCTGGAATTGAGAGGCTGAAGTTATAGGGTTAATTTTGCAATGGGGAAGCTGAATGGTTGAATTTGTAAAAATTCCGCTTTTTAAAATAGTGTCTTTACATGTTTGTTTCTGTCTTAAAACCTGTTGGATTGGTCTTGCGTCGCAGATCCAGGTGGAGGAGGCAATTACACAATCACTTGAACATGTTGCCAGATTCTTGGGGCGCTGATCTTAATTAAGGCAGGGATTGAGGACACAATCCAATTTGCAGCAGTTGGGAATTGCCATAGACTGGCTTCAAAACAGAAATCCAGGAAACTGAGAAGTTTCCTGCTTCTTCCAAAACTAGTATACTTTGAGTCTAGAAGACCATTCTTGAGGTCTGTCCTTTCATTCCTATATTATGCATCAGTGAGGATCAGGAAACTCCCAAGAAAAATAGTTCCTTGCGTAAGTTTCCAAAATTCAGTGTGGATAATATGTGCTATATTAATTTCACAAGAGTACCCATGTTGATCTGTGTTAGCAAGGTAGCACCCTAGTGGTTTAGAATGGTGTATACTCTTGTAGTTAGCAGCCTGTAAATGCCATCTGGTTGCATGTCCTGTATGAAGTTTCAAGGCCACATTACACTGCTCCCTGGATGCATTCAACAGCCACAGCTCTCATCCGTTTGTACTTGACTGTCCTGCTGCTCAAGCTTTTAATGACTCAGAACTATGTACTTTACGTTGGGCAGCACTGTAGGAACAAAAATATTTGGTGAATGAACTAGTTCAACACCTCCATAAGGAGAAGCCATGGATATCTAGATTGTGTCATTTATAGAAAACTATATACATGCATATGAATGACTTCTGTCTGTTCACAGAAAATGCCTATAGGATGTGAAAAATCCAGACTGTGTGAAGAAACTGGGATCGAAAAGTTTAGGTTTCAGAACTAACTTTAGTTACTTCTGAAACAAAAACTTTTCAATCCCAATTTCTAAACTAACTTTAGTTACTTGAACTATACAGTTAAATAATCCTTTCTAAGGAAGCCATAAAGGAAGAGTGCATAAACATCAAAGTGTTGTGTACTTCCGAGGGGCCTGTAAACCCCCCCCCCCCATTCCTTAAAAGCTTAAAATGAAGTTTTGGATTTGGCAGACTTTTTAAAATGGATGATCCATTTTTCAGGATAGAAATCTTGTTCCAGTTTATAGTGACCCATAAAGCTCCATTTCATATGTTATGTGGAAAGTATGAAAATTCAGGTGGACACAGAGTCATTCCCCTTCAGTTAGATTATTACTGTTAATACCTGCAGCGTGACCTGCCAGAGGGAGTTAAAAGTGCAGTAAACTTTCTTAAGCATTACAGTTTCCAAATCAAATGTGCTCAATGGGATCATCACCTCTGAAGATAAGAATCCAAATAAATCAGTTGAACTGGAACACATGGTTATCTTACCATTTGGTTGGAAATGCTGCATCATTGAATTAGAAGGAGAATGTTGTACAGGAAAGATGCACAGGTTGTAGGGTCAGCTGATATCTCAAATACAAATTAATTAAATGCCTGTCAAAGGCTTTCATGGCTGGAATTCATTAGTTGTTGTAGATTTTGCGGGCTGTATGGCCGTGGTCTTGGCATTGTAGTACCTGACGTTTTGCCAACAGCTATGGCTGGCATTGTTTGGCACAGAGAGTACTCCATCTTTCTGTGTGATACCTCTGAGGATGCCAGTCACAGCTGCTGGTGAAACGTCAGGTACGACAATGCCAAGATCATGGCCATACAGCCCGGAAAATCTACAAAAACTAATTAAATTCCTGTTAATGAAACTGACCAGCTCTAATAAATGTTTCTTCTGAACAAAACAGGTCTCTGTTTTTTGCTTTTCATAGCAAATCCTTCAGCTTTTGTAATACCTTAAGAAGAAAAGAGGAAGAGCCAACAGGAGATAGATTGACTCAATAAAGGATGCCTTGGCCCTCAGTTTGCAAGCCCTGAGCAAAGCTGTTAATGATAGGACATTTTGGAGGTCATTAATTCTAGCAGAAGTGACTTGATGCCACACACAGGAAGAATATTGGATTTCTGTATCATGAGATGGCAGGTATCCATTCAATTCAGTGAGAGCTTCACTGACCACTTGTATACCCAGGTTTAGTTCATTCGGATGACATTGGTCTGAGTCTCTCATAAGGTGACAGTATACATTAGAAGGAAATGCTTACCATATTTTTTTTCATTATTTACTTTATAGTTTGCCTTTTTCCTTGAGGCTCAAGGCAGATAGGACACTTTAAAATAATGCCATTGGAACTATATTAAAAACACAGCCAAGGAGGTCCTTTAGGAATGTTATATCTTTTAATCTAGTTTTTCTTTTTATTAAGTAACATCTCTTCCTGCGCCTGCTTGCGGGGAGGGCAGGATACAAATTTGATAAAATAAATAAATTTTTGGCTTTCAGTAAAAATTTCAGCTTTTATGCAGAACAGGTTCATCTCTGCATGTTTACTATATTCTTGGAATAACCAATGGAAGACAGAAAGCACCATCTCTTCAGAGTTTTAGATGATAAGTATTTCATGTTGGCTTTTTGAATAATTGGGCATACTACCAGATCCTTCCATTGAACAGAGAGCTGTAGAAAGTCAGGCACCAGAGGGACCAATACATTCTGTGTTTATGAGCTTTAAATCTGTCTTTTTATCCTTAACTTGTATAATACTGAAAGCTAAGCTCTATAGGAACTGGGCATATACTGAACCATAAGCACTGGCATACAGTTCTGGTTCAGATTGGGATTGGTTTATTTTGATACCAAATGGGGTAATTTTTCCCTTGATGAGTGGTATGTGTGTGTGCTGAATATTTCTCCCATTTACACCCCACCCCACCCTATACATACACAAACAATTTCCTTTTATTCCAATTAGAATTCCAGAAACAATTCTATCCAGGAAAACAGCAGTGGGAGGGAAAGGAAAAGCAGGTATGGTGGGGAGGCAAAAAGGTTCAGCACAGCATTCTAGTCCACTGCTTGTCCAATTTAAATCTTCAACCTACTTCGTTTTGCCTGATCAATGTCCTAATACACTGATTGTGCCACTGTCCTATATAATTAGACCCTGAGAATTCTGCAAATTACATAAGGGATTTACTTTGCTATTCTTTTCCTTTTCATCTCTCTCCCTGCCCCCCACATACTCACACTGAGGAACTGCAGAAAGGGTATGAAGAGCAGAATGAAAATATGGTTTCTCATTTTAATATGGAAAGAATCTTAGCCCTACAAATTGCCAGCTTCACATATTCTTATGTTTTATATTTATATCTTTCGATTTATTGATCGCTCAATCCTGCAGAGCTGCTGGCTCTGAGCGATTTACAGTTACACAAGTTTTCACAGGAGACTAATAATGATTCATAGGGGGTAAGGGAGGACAACATATAATTCTTTAAATCGCACATGTTTTCAGCCAACGGGGATTTTGTTCAGCTTTAGGCTTCAGACGTGTTCCGGACGACATTCACTTTTGGCTTGGCTTGATGATGTCAGTTCTTCCAGGACTACTTTGAGTCATAGTGCCGCACTGCCACCGCCTGGTGGGATTGGCCCATCACAGGCTTCTTAATGCCGAAGAGGTCTTTTTCCAGGCTTACGAGCTTACAAGCTGGACCTTCCGTTCACCGGCTAACACCTCCCCCATGGGGGTTTAGTGTGCCCACCCTCTCTAAGGAGTGGTACCCATTTTATCTACTCGCCGAAGCTTTCGACCCGCTGGGTGGATGGTGAGCTGAGGACAAGGCTGGTAGCTCACAATAGCACGGGCTAGAACTGACAGCAGCTCTGTTCAGCTCAGATGTTAACCAAAGGATGAATCCTCTGTGCCACCGCTCTGAGAAGAGCTGCTGGTGCCTCTTCTCAGAAGAGCCTCCATGTCCAATTCTATGGGTCACCAAAGAAGGTGCCCCCATCCTCCATTGTTTCCAATGGAGGAAAAAATACCATAAAAAATAAAAAATAAGGGCAATAGAAGCCCAGCAGAACAGAATCAAAGTCCCAGAGACTCTCTGCAGTAGAAACTGAAAGCGGGGGGCATTTTTGCAAGCCCAGCAGAACCAGTGCCACTGTGGCACTGCAAACCCAACAGGACTAAAGTCAAACTACAGAATCTCTGCAGTAGAAACTGAAGGTGAAACTGAATCACAATCCAAGCAAGGGGGGTCGCAAGCCCAGCAGAACCAGTTGCAAGCCCAGCAGAACCAGTGCCACTGTGGCACTGCAAACCCAACAGGACTAAAGTCAAACTACAGAATCTCTGCAGTAGAAACTGAAGGTG